ATGTTCCTTGATGTACTTTAAAGAGGTGGGATTATGCTCATTTTCAGGTTCAAATTCTTATTTAGGGGTTGTACCAGAACAGGTTTACATGGTTTAATTTTCAAAAAAACACCATATTTTTCTCATACTGCACATTGCTGTAGCTCTTCTTTTCACCCTATGTGTTGTACGCTCCGCTCTGGAGCTACAGAGTGATGCATCTTACTTATACAAAATCTTTGTTGGGAGTTGCACATGCGCAGTTCCCAGGTAGGGACTACTAGCCAATCAGAAGCAGAGAAGCGCGGGGTCGTAAGAAACAAGGTAGTGTGATGGGAACTCCTTTTGGGCTGGACTTTGGGCTTTTTCACTTTGCAAACCTGTTACATGCACAAAAAAGATATATAACTCAATAAAGGAGAGGGAAAAAAACAAAAAGCATAATACCACCTCTTTAAACCATTACTCATTACTAAGAACTTTCTTAAAGCTGGGTCTCCGACATGGCCAGCGTTGTGGTGGACAGATTTGTACTGCGGTGTTCATGAGAGAGACAGAGAGAGAGAGAGAGAGACGAGGGAGAGGATGTGCTGCGCGAATGCGCTACGGCCCTGATCTGCAATCATAAGGTTTTAAATAGGCCTAGTAAACAAAAAACGTTCTGCCGTTCGCCTCTTTCTCCGTTACTTTCCGCTTCTCGCTTGAATGCTTCTTCTTTGTGATTAGTCTTACAGTCAAGCAGTCGACGAGTCTTGTAGCTGAGAAACAGCTCAGCTGTTGCAGCACTGCAGTAGTGAATAGTTTCAAAAAGTCTGAAACCAGTTTTAACCAGGAGGACAGCATCTCTCCTGCCATACACATTTTCTGAGCCTGTAAATAACACTCCTCTCCTGAAACTAACTCCCAAGCTCCATCTTTTTCTTTACTACCCAACATCTTTCTCAATCTGCAATTTAATAATTCTCCATTTTTGTCAAGTCCATTGCTCTGACACTTTTCTTCTCTATTTCACCCCAACCTCTCCTAAGCCGATGCCTTATTTTCCTTTGCCCATTATTTTACTTTTACAGCTCTTCAAAGTACTTTTTCTACCCCTCTCGTCTTCTCTCTGTGGGCAGAGTAACTTCAGGCAGCACTAGATAAGAAAAACGTGGTTTATCTCTAATTGACATATAACCACTGCTCCTTCTCCACGTCCCCGTCTTCCTACTTCCTCTACAATCCACTCACATGCCACAAAATATGTCCACAGTAAACTGTAGTGCAACAAATATGAAGAAAACTGGCAAATTCTTCTAAAATACTTTGCAGAAAACATATTTGCCTTTGTGTTTAATGCCTAATTAAGCAAGCTGTGTGTTGTCTTCTTGAAAATGTTCAGAAAAATACCAATCTTTGCGAACGTGTTGAGCAGCTCCAGCACTTAACTCTCAGACTGGATGCACTGCAGAGCAGGAAGAGAAGATTTCACACAGGAAAGAGAAACAAAAGGGAGGGTTGGAAGGTTTATGGCATTCCTTTCCTTTTTGAGGAAGAAGAAGAACTGGAGCTGGCTCCCTGAGTGTTTATTTTATTCCGATTTTACAGAGACACAAAGGGAAAATACGATTTCATGTTGAGTTTGCTGACCTCAGGCACATTGTTTGTCTTATTTTACTCTCTCCGTTTCTGTTTTTCAGCTACAGCTAGATGGGAGCAGAGGACAAAGGGTTAAAAGGTCACAGCAGCTCAGATGCTTTACAAGGCAAGTTCAAAAATAGAACGTATTTACAGCAGTGGGACTACAATGGACTGTGTGTGTGTTCTTGCATGTTCGTGTGTGTGTGGAAAGTCAACTTGCTGTGGAGTTAAAGTCCACCTGTCCCTGCAGACATTATCTCAGTGACATAACACAGTTGGCTCGGTGCCTGCTTTTGGTCTGATCCGATACAGTTGACTGAGGCTCAGTGAAACAGTTTGTTTTAAAGAGAACTGAAGAAGTCTCCTGGATGAGGGCCGAAACGTCTTCAATTATCTTCAACCAAGCCCAGTTGCCCTTGATTTTAACCTTCCTTGCAATTTGGGTTTTAAAGTTTTTCAATCACTCCGTCAGTGCTATCAACACAGCAAATGTATGCAAAATAACAAACAGTATTAAAACGGATGTTGTACTCTGATGTTGTTGATTGCATATATATATATATATATATATATATATATATATATATATATATATATATATATATATATATATATATATATATATATATATATATATATATATATATATATATATAAAACCAAACTGATGCATTGGTAATAATACAGTATATTTTGCTAATAATACTTCTATACTTTTACTTAAAGTTGAATGCAGAACTTGTAATTAAGTATGTCTACACTATAGTATTACTACTTTTACATAAGCAAAGCATTAAAATACTTTCACCACTACTGGACAAAAACTTGTCACATGTAGCAAAGGAACCAATAGTGACAAATGTTTTGGGTTTTAGTAAAAGTTTTCTTGGAACTATTTATTTGGAACTATAGTTATTGAAATTCAACAAATTATATAAGTGAGTTATTGCCCAGCACTAAACATATTATATCAAATTATATCAAAATAATTTCAGGTACACATTTAGTCCAGCAGTGTGTTTTACAAATTAATTTGATTATTTTTTTAATTCATCATGGCAGAATACCATTATATACCATTATCTGCAGCCAGTTATTTTGGTTTTAACTAACCAACCTCACATATACGGGGCAGCTGTGGTTTAGAGGTAGAGCTGGTCGCACATTAATCGGAAGGTTGGTAGTTCGATACCTGGCTCCTCCAGTCCTCTGTCAAAGTGTCCTTGGACAAAATACTTAACACCAAAATGCTCGATGTGTGAGTATGTGTTTGGGATTAGTTTATTTTTGATGAGCAGTTGGCAACTTTTAATAGCAGCCTCTGCCATCAGTGTATGAGCGTATGTGAATGTGACACATAGAGTACAGCGTGTTGAGTGGTCTAAAGACTAGAAAGGTGCTGTACAAGTACATTCCATATATCTATTATTTCTATTATTCTACTTCTATTATTCTATTAATAAGCCTGCAGTGGAAGTCTCTAGTGCTCTATTGCTCCACGGCACATGGAGGAAGATCTGGTTAATTTTATACCCGGGAGTTGAACTTGCGGGTTTCATGCATCTCATGTACTGGAAGGGGTGTCAGGGTTTTTTATGGACTTTAACACACATCTATGTGTTTTATGTGTTGTTTATCGCTCATGCTGTTCATGGTTATTCATTCATTCATACCATCTCCCTGCAGTTTTGTTTTTTCTCACGTTTGTCATGTACGGATGTAAGTTTTGCATGTTTGTCTGATCTAACCCAAGTTGCCAGATTGTCTATGAAACACAATCTACGCTACACACTATACACTTTCTTTCACTGCAACCAGGCAACCAGGCAACCAGGCAACCCACAACCCGATCCAAACAGTTAACCCAATGATCGTTGAAAGGGGAGATCTGGGGTGATTGTTATGTTGAGTCATGGCCTATTACTATTTCACACTGTGTTAATTCTGTTCAACGACATTAAAATACAGCAAGGGTTACACTGTGATTGGATTGTTAGCTGCCTTCGCATCCGTTTCATCCACCAAAGTGGCTGATGCATCTCAGTGGCCTACACTTAACTGGTTCTTCTTATGTTTAACAATCTCGAGCTAATAAACAACTTAACATTGTTTTTTCTCACCCTCCGCTACTAGGTTGTTACCTATACTGTAAACAAATGGACCGCATTTAGAAGAATTATTGTGGCTTAACAATTTTGTTTATAAAAACGTAAATATAAAATGAACATCATGATGTATTGAAAAAGACTTGAAACTAGCGACTGAGACTAAAAACTCAGAAAGTGTTAGGTTAGGAAAGTGTTTACTGAGGTAATCAATTAAATGAGACGTAGGGTGTTTTTTTCCATAGACTTCTATACAATTTGACCTTTCTTTGCAACCAGTGGAGTCGCCCAATCCACGATCCATGAAGATGGATAACCTCAATTAAAGACTGAAATCCCAAATGAACACCTGTCCCTTTTACTGGCCTGGTGTGGCTACAAATCTTGACAAATAAATGCAGGTCTCAATTAGAAGCCTGGTCTGTTTTTTTATGTAAGTGCTTTGGATGTATAAAACCCCTAAACCTTTGTCAATATGGACATGTTAGATCGCTTAGATTTTCCACAATTCAATTGTTCAGCTAATTTTGCGGAAACAATGAGAACCATAGTATTATTCATTCAGATTTACCGGCATGGTGAAGGAATTAAAGGGCTGTCCCATACAGATGTGGGTTCAGTGATTTGAGCGGGGGAAAAAGCCTATTGAAGATTTATGGCAAATCTACTTTCCACAGCTAATTTGCTGAAGACAATAGAACAGCAAAAACTTTTGTTCCGTTTCTGTTTGCTTTGAGTGAGGGCTACTTGAGAAACTTATCGTCATGCTAAGCCAATCAGAGGTAGAGTAGGTAACAGACAGGTAGGCCAGCCAAAACATTTTGACAGCCACAGAGTGACACCTGATCCCCCCCCCATTTTTGTGTCCGCCTTTGATTTATTGATGGTTGTTGACCTGTAAAGAGATTTTTATAACCTAACAAAATGCTCCTGAAATACAGCCTTCCCTAGCTTTAACACATCAGTGGAACAGAATATAGGAGGTGCTGAGATTATATGCACAAATGAAAATGGAAAAGAACAGAATAGCTTAATTTTCATTGAAGTTGCCAACATTTCAAGAGTAAGCGTGTAATTCAAGTAATGCAAGTTGCAACACAACATCCCTTGTGGCTGCGTGGCATTCTGGTGACTAACGTAAAACACCAAGATAGCTGCAGGTCTACTATCGAAGTTAAAAGTTTCAAAAGGTCAAACTTTTGCAAAACAAAGCAAAACAGTTGATTTGTTTCTAAATGTCATGCCTGGGACAGCAGTAAGTTAATCATGCGCTTGAACTTTGGGTCTGCCACTTACCTGGCTGCTCCCTCAGAGCCATGATTGACACGATATAGTGCGCCATGTCAAAGTATGGAAACATGGACAAGTTTGCCAGCCCGTGGGAAAGCTCGTCCAAATGCAGCACCGCCAACAAATCCATCTTCTTACTTATAAAACTCTTCAACGAGAGTAAGATAGACTAGTTAATCTCAGCAAGGAGTTCAAGTGTAAAAAAAGAAGAAAAAAAGGCACCAGTCCAACTCGGAGCATCAGGGCGAACACTCTGCTTCATCCACCGTCTGTCAAGTCTGACACCAGCCGGCGGCCCAAACAGCTGCCAGCTGGTTAGTTGACTTTAGGGACCACCGGGGCAACAGAACTGTATTGCGAGAGGATGGTCATCATCGCTGTTACCTCATCAGAGAGGCTGTCATCGGCTCATGGGCGGAATTCCTGCTGTGTTCCGCCATGCTAGTGATGTCAAGTAGGTAGCGGGCGGAGCCAAAGCGGCTTTGTGATTGGAGGAGAGAGCACTGCGAGCCAATCACGTGTCATAGTGTGGCTGCGTGAGGTGATGCTACAGGTCTGTGTAAAAGCAAACAGACTGTACACAGCACACACACTTACAAATGGTCAGTGTTGTTGTAGGCCTGACTGTGGTCTTCTTTTGTTTTACAAAAGAATCAAATTTAGATAGAGCTATTATGTAGCCTACACACAAGTACAGTAGCTGACAAAGTCACGTCAGATTAATTAAAGTGTAAAATCACCAACGACATGGTCCCAGTACACTGTACAAAAGACAGAAGACACGTAAAAATGAGCAAACTTGGATATACATAGTTGAATATACAAAATACATGATACGATACACAAAATAAAATACACCTAAGTACAATAAAATACGTAATGATAAACCAACAAGATAATAAATAAATATAAAAGTTAGAAATCTATATATATCATATATAGAAATCATATATAAAAAGGTGTATAACGAGCAACACTGACCAACAACATAGCTTACAAGTCAAGTGATTCTGTAAGTTGTAAACGACAAAAGGAATGTTTTTATTAGCAATATAAAACAAAGCAGCAGAAACACAACAACAAAAGAAAAGAAGGCAATTGTGCTGGTGAGATTTAAAAAAACAACAACCGAGCATTATAAGTGAATACAAAAGTCATGTAATCCACAAGGAATCATAAATTAAGCAACATAAATCATGCAAAAACATTAACTTTAATATGTGGAGTCTACAGGTAGACCTGACGCATAGTAGGGTATTTTACATCAATTTTATAAGATATAATTGATATGAATATGTTAATAACATGTTATAAAATTGCTGATGTCCTTTTAGCTGGTATTTATTACGTTATTAATAATAGTACATCTGCTAATCATTTGTGATTTAGCTTTGAGCGTTGGACCCAATAATTTTCATTTTCACCAGCTAATCCCACCCATCCTAACTGAAAACCATAATCAAGTTATATTTTAGTGTTTTTTTAGTATAGGCCTATACATTCATGTCAGTGTGTCATGAAAATGTGTTGTTTTGTGTATAGTACCGTATATATATTATTCACTAGAAGACATAAGAACAACATAATAGAGAAGACATAAGGCCATGAAGCACAAAAGGAGATGATTAAACTGAATTTAAATATTATTATTATATTGATACATTACAAAATACTCCAATTTCTTTCATTTTCTATTGGCCCTTTCACCTTCATCCTATTTGACACACATAAATGAGAATTTGATAAGTAACAAGTCATTCCCATGATGGACACCTGATCTCATTTTAATTAAGGTATATGCTTTGTACAATTAAAGAAGAAAGTAGAGCCATATTTTGTTAATTTATAATACATAACATACACATAAGATTTAGTCAGCATTTGGTTTGGCTACTTTATTTCCCAAAATTATAAATGCAATGATGTATGCAAACATATGCCTCAAGGGATGACATCAAGGGAAGTTAAGTAACTATTACTATTGACCCGGTGTCCGATTATCTGAAACCTATAGGTCTAATAACCCCAGAGATGTCAATAAACTTTAAGTGACAACGGGCCACTTTATGACTCTCACTAATCCCTCCTCTGTAACCCATACAGGTAACAAAGAACAAAAGATACCAACTTTGCAATTCAGGGTCAAATGTATAATAACTCACACGCCATGTTAACATTATCTGAAGAATGTAACATTTATTTTCTACATGCTGAATTTGATACAGAAGCTGAGTTAACCAGAACTAGTTACACATACCTCATGAGAGACATTCCTGTGGTCTCAAGAATATGGACAATGTACTGATACTGACAAGTACTGATTTTATTTTATTTTATTTTTTCATTTTCTTTTATATGTATGCATATATATAGGGCCATAGTATATGTACTATCAATAACAACAGATGTAACGTGATTGTCATTTATAATATTTAAACCTGGATTAATAGTCCATTACTTTGGTCATATTGCAAAGTGGATCTTTCTGTTATTCATTTAATATATGCTTAGTGTTTTAAGATAAGACAACTTTATTAATCCCCCATGGGGGAAATGTAGGTCAACATAGCAGCACAAAGGGATATAATAGAACAGATACATGTTTGTAGAACTATCAACACACTATTTACACTATACAATCAATAATAATTATTTACAGCCAGATAAATGTAAAGAATAATTTTTCAGCAACTGATAATGCCAAGTTTTCAAACAGGGGAGAACAAAATTGTTAACTTTTATGGCTTCTTAGGAAAGAAATTATAACAACGAAACTAGTTAAGACAGAATGTGCTGGGGTGGGTGGAGTAAGCATTGAGCCACTGACATCCGACTACAGCCCCCTGAACCGAAAACTATAAAGCTAGGAGTGGCCACAGGATCTGTCTATTTTAGTAGTTTTAAACCCTCTTTAAGATTTCTTCAAGTCTTTGGTCTTCTTCTGTTTCTTCTTCTTTGTGACCTCTCTCCCTCTGGCTGGGCCAGATACTTTTCCTGTGATTTTGGGGTTGATGCTAGATGCTACTACTAACGATAATTTAGCTTTAGATCAGAAAGCATCTTCGTAAATATTTTGCTCATTCTTCCCTCGAATGACCTCTCAGCTGTTGAACAGTGTATAAAGATGATTTCAGTGGTCAGTGCCAAAGTTATCCACTTATCTGTTTACACTGGTCCTCAATCATTTGTCAAATATTCACTGTATTTATAACATTCATGGCTGCATTTATGCATTTATTTGTGTGTCTAGTAGCTAGTGTGTGTGTGTGTGTGTGTGTGTGTGTGTGTGTGTGTGTGTGTGTGTGTGTGTGTGTGTGTGTGTGTGTGTGTGTGTTATAAATGTTTCACGTATAAAGTGGTTGCTCTTTGTTTATGTCACTTTACATACCCTATCTGTTCCCTTTCATCTCGTGCTACCTGCCTTCAGGTTAATTCCCTCAGAAAGCTAATTTGTGCATTATCTCTTAGCTGATCAAGAGACAAGGCTTAGTTTGAAGCTGAGCTAAATGTTAACAAGGTCTATATGTTAATGGTGGAGCATGTTAATTGAATTACTGCTCCTTCAAAACGTATTCACTACGTATTGTAATAGTCATATGTAGGCTATTTGCTACACATGTGAGGGAACGCAGAAAAGCAAAAGCTGCAAAAGAAAGTGTAGATTATCACTAAAAACAAAATATATGGTAATCATCAGTTAGTCTGCTGTCTTGCTCTGCTGTTTGGATCATAATTTTAATTTGTCTGACAGCACACAGAAACTTAAAGGAAGTGCTGACACTACAACATTCATTAACCAGATTAACCATGTGACCACCAGTTCAACCAGAACACTATTCATGTTTATGCAATAACATGTGAAAGCACATGTCTGATTCACTGCAACATCTGTGGTTTTAAAATAACTATAAAAAGCATATTCAAACCATGTATTTAAAAAAACGCTACATTTATAGAAGTTGCCGTGTTGGTTGCACTGTACATAATTTGACATGAACACCCAACAATGTGCAAACTAGTTATTGCTGTAAATTATCATATAAAAGAGTAATATATGGATCATAATGGATGGTGTTAACTAAAAACTGTTAAAGTACTGTTTACTAGGTCAAAGCGCAGGAGACTATGTTGAAATATGAACTATGTGTGAGCTATGTTATGTCTCTTATACAGCTGTCTTCTGGCCAGTTTGAGCATGACACCTGGTGGTGGCTCCATATTAACTTTTTCTTTATGTATGACTCCTTTTTTATCTTTAAAGGGAGAGTAGGTGATTCAGCAGAAGGATTGTTGATATTTGAACTCACCTGCCAAACACATACACCCCTTCAGTGCACCCTCGGAAGCTCCGTATTGAAACACTTTCACTCATGCTTGGTCAAATATATTTGTTCTCTGTTTATACTCTTCATGCCTTTCCCTGTTTCTAGGTCATCTCTCCTTCTTCACAGTGCCTGGAGTCCAGCACGTTCAAATGTGCTGGTGTATAGAACTCTCTCTCTCACTGACCCCCTGTTGCTGATTGGCTGGAACAATGTTGTGTGGCAAGGTCCACACCACTTTCTTTGTTTTCCATTTACAGAGCCAGGGCTGTGTAGAAAAACCAGATTGTTTTTCAGAGCACACATAAAACAGAAAACTAGCAAACTGTGAGGAAATATTCACTGAATTGTCCCTTTAACATTTTACCTTTAATTATGATTGAATCAGATCTAATAATAATTGTTGTGTTACAGTAAGGTTTATTAGCACAATAGTAGCTCCACCTGCTACAGTTACTGGAACGTCCATCCTCATTTTATTTCTGGAAAAAGCCTTTTTGTTGCCATGGTTTGACTTAACATCTGAAAATACACTTAGATCGAAGCATTTACAATTTATTTTTTATTTTAACAGATACAGTTGGTTACATGAATAAACCTTTAAAATGGGGCTCCCTCATGAAGAGGGAATATATTGCACATCACCTTCTTCTGATAAGCACTCTGCATGCAGCTCCAAAAAGTTGTGGTCACCTTAATGTGAAACTAAAACTTTTTCTAGTACGTGCGGCAGTAATTATGACATTTGGTGTAACAGTGAATAACCAGATATCAATCTTACAACACTAATGCATATATATTTTGGAAGGAACTCCTGGATGTTTAAATTACCATCTCAGTATGTTTATTTTTTTATTTTTTTGATCATTTCAATCAGATTCACAGAAGCTTTAATTTGAAGTTAGAGCCACTAGATGGCAGCAGTCAGCCAAACTTTACATACTGTACATCAATCATCACTATGATGACTTGTGTTCTCATAAAATCATACAGCAATATGACCATCCACATTCGAATATTCAGTAATATCATATTCATATTTAGTGTGTCTCTTGTTCAAAAAAGATTAATAAGCTAGAGAATGGTCAATCTGTATGCAGAAGAGAAAAGGAAGAT